AGTGCCTAACATCTGTGTAAACTCAGGTTAGAGATAAATATAATAGTCTGATATAAATTTATTTCTGTCATTCTCTTTTCCATCTCGCAGTCAGCCAGATTGAGCCACACCCATGGCTTTGCGTGCTGTACTGCTATGATGTGTGCTTTCTTTTCTTGGAATAAGCAAATTAAATCACTACCTGACTTGGGAGGAAATCGATAGGCATTGTTGGCGCCAAGGTCCACTTCTTCGACTCCGTTACTTTGTCTGCTCGTGAAGACCCCCATGATCCCCGATCCAAAGGCCAAACCTCGTCCTTTAAAAGGCACCCAAATCCCAATTCGTTGTGGGTCAGTGATTTAGTGCACTCAAGTCCTGTTGGCATCCATCTTAACTTGTATCGAGCGACATCTGTAACCGAATGCTGGTGAGAGTATTTATCGTATTCACGCACAGGTGGCGTTTGATTTCAGCATTGGTAGCCAGAATTTCTTACAATAGTTGCTTCTCCCAGTGCTACTTGCGTAGCTGTCCTTGGTGAAGACATGGAGGAAGAACACCTGGCGTCGTCTATATGCCGCCGTATATACCTATAACATATGCCGCGATGAGATGCTTTGAAAAGAGCTTCTGTTCTCGGAAGGCGTGGAATAGTCTTGATGCAACCCACGAAGTTTTTTTCCGTCCATCGCCATGAAGGCCCAATGTGACATGAGGGGATCCCGCCTCCACCAGCATCGCTCCATCGTCATGAACCTTCAATCCATAATAATCCTGGTGAACCATCATACCCCGGGTGAGACAAAACAAAACGCTCCGCTCTTTGAGATTTTGTGGCGCCTCTGAAACCGCAGCAAGAACGAAGTTTCTTTCATGCACACTTATAAGCATCCTTCGAGCATCCAACACTTTTTTGGCCGTTTATCTGTAACCGTCTTAGCACACGAGTGATTTTACAAAAGCAACTGGACTTCTATTATCGCACTCGCACGACGCCGAATGGGAGGACCTACCCAACCCCCCCCCCTCTCACCTCCCTCATAATCCGCTAAGCAGACTTATCCTTACGTCTAGCGATTTGCATACCAGGATTATCGTCTTGAGGGACAATCACTTCTTCCTGCAGTTCCGGGTAGTTTTAGTCTTCCGCTCCTTCTCTTCCTCTCATGTGAACCGGTTTCTCTCAACTTGTGAACCAATCTCTAAACGGTAGGCCTACATTTCTTTCACTCTATCCCAGGAAACTCTTGCTAATGGTGCCCCACCCTATCCTTTCGCAAAGAGCAGCATTTTTATTGGCAGACAGAGGAGCTGTGGCCCGAGATTAGTGTGTTTCGATACGGTTCCTCGCGCAAAAATGAAATTCTAGTCGCCTTCGCATTTTAGCTCCTGTGCTAAAACGGCCGGAGAAAAATTAACAAGAATTTTAGAACGTGTAAATGATACGTAGAAGTTATTGGGTCGATCGGAAAGTTCTGGCCGTTTCGAGAACATTCCATACAACCGAGTTTTTTAAAAAAGCAAAAAATTCATTCAACGAAGTAATCGCCATCACAGTCAATCGCCTGGAGTCAATCGACAGGAGTCTGCCTGATCGTTGGCAGAAAGCCAACGATCAGGCAGATTCCTGATTCCATCCCTGTAGAACTGAGCTGGCTGTGAGTCGAAAAAATCAGTCAGCCGGTTTTCGACCTCGGCGTCATCGTTGAACCTTTTCTGGGGAAGACGGTTGTCCAGAGCGCGGAAGAGATGGTAGTCGGTTGGCGCTAGATCTGGGCTATACGGAGGGTGAGGCAGAACCTCCCAGCCCAGATCCAGCAGTTTCTGCCGTGTGATCTTCGCGACATGCGACCTTGCGTTGTCGTGCAGGAATCGAACACGACGGTGCCTTGGCCTCAACGCTCGTGGACTGGGAGCAGCAAAGCGCTGTCGCTAAGTCGCGGGTACTTTGCCTCGGATCGGCTTCCACTGTGTGCTGCAACTGCTCGTCGTCGATTTCAGATGGGCGGCCTGACCTGGGCTCATTCTCGAGGCTGTAATTTCCAAACCGGAAACGATCGAACCTTCATCGCGCTGTCCTTTCATAACCTGCACATTGGCCAAACGCGGCGCAGATGCGGCGACTCGATTCGGCTGCTGTTATGCCAGATAGGAAGTCGTAAAGAAGACACTGACGTTGGGCGGTCTTATTAAAGTCGATTTTGGAAGTCATGGTTATAGGCTTTGAACGACTAAGCAACTACTGCGTAATCATGCCCACACACTCTTTATATACTGCTACTGTGGAAGGTTCGAGAAAGTTCCAGAAATTTTTTTTCTGGAAAATTCTCGAAACGGCCAGAACTTTCCGATCGACCCAATACAACAAGAAATTTAACCGTGCTATCTGCTATCTCATGAACTCCAAAGAATCCCTAAGAACGGAGCGTCTTTTTTTTTTGCCTCACCTGATATATTGCAATACGAAAATATTTCCCATCAAACTGAGATTTTCAAACAGCTCCAAAGGCTGCATACCTCCCACATGACGAACTTGTGTTACATATCTAGGAGTTAGTGTAACACGAATCTCAATTTAAAAAAGCGTGCAATGCGAGAAAATTGCAGTCTCTCTTTTTCTCTTCGGCTCCTGTTTTTATTTTATTTATTAATATACTTTAAAGGCATAATTAGGATGATAAAAGCCATCGCAGGTATTTTCAAAGAGGCCCAATGGTAAAAAGGATAAAAGAATGTCATGAACCAGAGGCCTTTGTTCGACCAATTTCTCCCACTCCACTCTAAACATTTCTGCGGGAAAATGTTTCTTTTCCCATGTAGGAATCCTTTGCAATCATTGGGATATGTATGGTTAGAAATTTTAGCGAATGATTGACGCGACACACGACATGGTAAATATTTGTGGTTAAGTGAACGAAACATTTGCTCCCTTTTCCCCGGTACCAAAAGTATTTTGACTCTGTCTCCCCCCCCCCCCCCCCCCCCCCCCCCCCCCCCCCCCCCCCCCCCGCCC